TCCAAAGGCTGAGCTGGGCCTGAGAAGGGTTTTTTTTTTTTTTTTTTTTTTGGGTACTGGGGATTGAACTTGGGTCCTTGCGCTTGTGCAGCAGGTGGCGAAACCACTGAGCTAAATCCCCCACCCTATTTTTTATATTTTGAGATGAATCTTGGTGAGTCACTAAGTTGCCTAGGCTGAGCTCAAACTTGCAATCCTCCTGCTTCAGCCTCCCAGAGACTGTGCCACCATGCCCAGCTTACCTCTTGTATTGGGGGAGTTAATGGATAGCATTGACCATAGAAGCATATGGTAATAAAATCCAACATCCTTATGATGTACATATTTGATCTCCTTATTTTTATTTTTTTTTGTACTGGAGATCAAACTCAGGACTGTGTGCTTGCCAGGTAGGTGCTGTGCTGCTGAGTTACATGCCCAGCCCAATCTCCTTGTTTTTAGAGTCAAAGTAAAATTTATGTTGGAGGAACATTTTTTTGGAGTTCAATAAACTATTTTGTTGGGTTGTATATTCCTCTGTTAAAGACAAGTTAAAATTAAATGTAATACTTTTCCTTTTTAATTTATATTATTTTATATTTTGCAGTACTGGGGACTGAACCCAGGGCTTTCACAGTGAGCTACATCCCTAGCCTTTTTTATTTTTTATTTGGAGATAGGGTCTCATGGAGTTGCTAAACTGCGCAGGCTGTGTTCAAACTTGAGATCCCCCTGGCTCAGCCTCCCAGAGCTACAAGCACATGCCACTGTGTCTAGTTAATATAATGTAATTTAAAATGACATGTATAAATTTGATTCTCACCCTTTCTGTCTTCTTTCATCTCTTCCCATTCTTTTGTCCCTTTCTCTCTCTTTCCATCCATCCCATCTTAATATTCATCTTCGTATCCATTGGCCTGCTTTTTCTTTTTGTTTGTTTGTTTTTGAGACAGGGTCTCAATGCGTAGTCCAAGCTGTCCTTGAGCTCACTATGTAACCCAGGCTGGCCTCAAACTCTTGGGGGTCCTCTTGCTTCAGCCTCCCAAGTAATGGGATTACCAATGTGCACTACCATGCCCTGTTGGCCTGCTTTTTATTTTTTATTTGGTACTGGGGATCGAACTCAGGACCTTGCACTTGCAAGACAGGTCGCAGAACCACTGAGCTAAATCCCCAGCCCCATGGCCTGCTTTCATATCTGCTTGAAAATATATCTAGAATCATCTTGATCATCTTGAATAATGAAATGGGTTATTATTTTTCTAGCTTTAAACTTTTTATTTTACTTTGTTGTGTTGGGGATTGAATGCAGACTTCATACTTGCTAGACAAGCACTGTACCACTGAGCTATTTCTCCTCATACTTTTTTGGAGACAGTCTCACTATATTGCTCAGACTGGCCTGGAACTCCCCGGCTCAAGAAATCTTCCTGCTTCAGCTTCCCCAGAGCTAGAACTACAGGTGTGAACCACCATGCCCAACTAGTTAACTTCTTTATTTCCAGACTTTTTTTTTTTTTGTACCAGGGATCGAACTGGGGTCCTTCCGCTTGCGAGGCAGGCAGTGGAACCACTGAGCTAAATCCCTGGTCCTAGTTAACTTCTTTATAATGACAAGTTGGACTCTCAGCAAGAGGTCATTTTTTCCCACAAGTTTTACATAAGTCTCCCATTCAAGGAATTCATTCCAGAAAACAAAAGTCCTAAATCTTAACACTAATCCTTTCCCCAACGAACCACCACCACCACCACAAACCATCTCTTTTCAGACAAAACTACTTGGATAAGGGCTCACATCTTTCCCATGTGTTTTCTCTACTTTCTTCCTGTGTACACATAATATACAAGTCACGTTTTAATTCACGAACCTCTCCCCCAACACCTACCAGTGTGTCCTGGAGATTTATCCATGCTGGTTCAAACAAGTCCTCATATTTTTCAAATCTCTCTGAATCAGAATGGTGTAGTAGGCAGGGTGTGGTCAGAAGGGAGAAATCACAAAATGATTTGAGCTGGGAAAACTTAATATCAAGAATTTGGGGGATCGGGCAGGGGATTTAGCTCAGTGGTTTCGTCGCCTGCTGCGCAACCTCCAAGGACCCGAGTTCGATCCCCGTTACCAAAAAAAAAAAAAAAATTTGGGGGGTGCCAGGGATTGAACCCAGGGTCTCATGCGTGCTAACTGCAAGCTACACCCCCAGCCCCAATATCAAGGATTATTAATGGAAGGCCGAAGTGGTGTGGAATAAGGAGAGCTAAAGACAACTGCAGAGAAAGCAGCAGCAGCAGCAGCGGTGCCCGTCCTCCTGCCCAGGCTGAGACCTGTCTTGTCTGAGGCACAGCTCCCCATGCAGGCTGGCTCAGTGGAACCCTCGGGGGCAGGGCTCAGAATTTGCTCCATGTTAGGGGAGCTCTGGCACCAGCCCTGGGAGAGGCCCCCGGGCAGGACCTGGAGAATCTATCTGCAGTCAGCAGTCAGCTTGCGGGGCGGAGAAGGAGGTGGAGGAGCAGCTACCCAGGCAGGGGCCCAGGCCTGCTGGTCCCCAAGTCCGCAGCTGGAGAGACACTCGCTGAGGCCAAATGCTGCAGCCAGCTGCGCCCTGCAGGCACCCAGCGCTGGAGGGCTGTCAGGGTCCTGGCTGGAGAACGCAGGAAACCGGGAGGAAGAGCCTTTCCTCCTGCAGCCTCTCTGGCGCCACCTACCGCCAAAACATACTATTGCACCTGCCGGAAGGAAGACTGCCGTGTCCAAGGCCAACTGGGTAGCTCTGGGCTGGGAAGCAAAAGATTAAAAAGCGGCGCAGACCGATACTCTGCGCGC